ACAAAGCTCTATTCGATAAGTATTAGGTTTTAAGATGCTAGAGGTCCTTTCACAAGACACTTGAGATCTTATTTTGAATCAGAATTTGCACACCTGCAATTTCCTATGCAAATCGCCGTTAATTGTTACCTGTCTGAATGCATTAATCCATGGGAGTATCAATTAGACGCTGGCGACAGGTAGGTGAGGGGATATTGCGGGGTAAGTGGGGCGTTGCATTAAAAGAGACGTGTAATTACTCGCTATTGTAGGAACGATATCTAACACAGAAGAAATCAATGGGCTTAAAGCTCCTAACACCACCACCGTCGATATCGTATCCCTAACTCATTTCACGCGGGTTGGTATCGCTCCGCTGGCTCCTCACAGCGAAGCTAACATTTCAAAGGAGCATTTTACCCCTCAGGTCGACGGAGTTACGGCATAATATGACGACTTCGTCTACTACCCTCCCTCCCCCTCCTCAACCACACATCCACTTGTGCGAGCCCCGATTGCAGTTTGTCCGCACCAGGCGTCGCTATGGTGCTGGCTTCTGAGGCTCGCGCGAAATACGGACTTGCCCTGGGGCCAAAACCCGGGAGTGAGAACTGTTTCCCCGTCAGTCTGGGCGCATTTAGCAGCCTACACTGGTCGCAAGCAGACCGTGTATCGCGTTCTCAATCGTCACTCCATTTATATACGTATTTCTGGATTATCGTAGCCTATTTCAAAGGTAAGTTCATTTACTATTATTCCCTCGTTAATTTGTTACTAAAACCATATGTGAAATTGTCGATGGGCGTTTCAAGACCAATAGCTTGTTTTATAAGATGGTTGAAATTGAGTCCACGCGACGGGTTGTGTGACTGTTTCAGAAATGTTGATTTGTCTTGGGTGAATGAATTATCCATAGGCGGATCCAGAGGGGGGTGCAGGGGTGCGCACCCCCTTTTTGTGCTGAAAGTTTGTTAAATGACTATTGAAACTCAGGTGAAAATGAAGTGTGCACCCCTCCTTTTCTCAATAGTGTGCACCCCTCTTTCTCAAAATGCTGTATCCGCCTCTGTGATCTACACTAAAACATCTACAGGTAGTCATACTAATATATACACACTGGAAATTCACCGAATCTCCCGCCTATGGTGAACGAACATGGTTGGGATTGCAACACCACAGGTAAACTCCCAGGTAAACAAATGCCTATTAATTCTCTATACAGGTTCGCGCAACACCTGTTTCTCCGATTACATCATAATATTCTCGGTCGAGCTTCGTCCAGACAAACAGCGCACAGATGAACGTTTTCGTGGTAAACAGTGAATGTTTTCATGGTAAACAGTGAATGTTTTCATGGTAAACTTTACCCGAATTCTGAGTCGCTACCCATACTTAAGCCGTATATTAAGCCATCTCTCAGGAAAGGTATGCTCAAGCTTAACACTGACTGAGTTTGGTTTTACGCCGCTTTTAGCAATATTCCAGCAACATCACGGCGGCTCAAGCTTAACATGTTCCTACAGTGCCAGGACAGTGTTGGATCTGCAGACTACGATGTTAAATAAACTGACGCGATAATAATTGTCTCATGTCAGGACGAGTTTATTTGGGGTAATATGTCTATAAATAATTTAATATAATAATTTATATTTACATTAATGTAATATGAGTAACACGACGTTTTGGAATGTAATCCTTCTCCTTCTTCAGATGATGATAAGAACATACTCCGAAACATCATGTCCGCTTATACAGAAGTTGACATTCAAACAGATTCACTCTTTAGTGAATCACTAAATGTCATTCAAAGACCGGTGTTAGTCGAAGTTTTGATCGTGGAAATACACAACCGAAATGAACCCAACGACTTTTGTAATAAAATGATACGGTATGCGCAAACCATTTTAGTGGACATTGAAGTAATCACTCTTTTTGTACCACTGCAGGCGGAATAACCCGCCCCACCAGCTGGTCTTGGTTACCTGGCTATAGATGACATCAAACAGTTTAAACGTTGGTAAAACGATATTCCGATGCCGGGTTAATGTGGCGTTGGAGTGGAGACCTATATTAGATAAAACCTTCAGTGAATTAACGCTATACTAAGTAGCACATCCGTGAAATGTGTAGTGATATGTTTATCTATCTATATATACGGGTTGACTTTGAAATATTACAAATCAAATCGGTATATCGTGTTTGTAGAACACATTGACTTTAAATAACTGGTAACTGTGAATGTTGAGTTTTAAGTGTAGACTTATTGCGTTAGGTAAATCTTTCAGTGAATAGAACGCTTTACTAACTAGCACATCCGTGAAATATGTAGTGATTCGTTTATCTACCTATGCGTACGTGTGAACTTTGACATATTACAAAGTATGTGTGTGTGTTTGGTTTTACGCCACTTTTAGCAATATTCCAGCAATATCATAGCGGGGGACACCAGAAATGGGCTTCAAACATTGTATCCCATGTAGGGAATCGAACCCGGGTCTTCAGCATGACTAGCGAACGCTTTAACCACTAGGCTACCCCACCGCCCCTATTACAAAGTATATCGTGTTTGTAGAACACATTGATTGTAAATAACTGTAAGTATTTCCTAATTGGGGAATATATGTTGCTGTGTAGTGGTTTATTGTTGCGATTTTGTCTGTAGACACATATGTTGAACCCTGTCGGCCGGATGGGCGTGGGTAGCCTAATGGTTAAAGCGGTCGCTCGTCACGCTGAAGACTTGGGTTCGATTCTCCATATAGGTACAATGTGTCAAGTCCATTTCTGGTGTACCCCGCTGTGATATTGCTGGAATATTGCTAAAAGCGGCCGAAAACTAAGCTCACTCACTCATGTCGGCCGGGTCATTAGGTGAGTGGACACAGAGGGACATCGGATGCACGGTCACATGGAATGGTAATGGTCACCTGTCACTAGATCTACTGCGGGTTGACGTGAGACATGAAGCTCTGTGGCGACAGCCATAAGGCGGCGTGCTCTGTATCGTGTACCAAGTTTGATATACTGCATCTATATCAGGGTTGATATATACGTGAGACCTGATATAAACATTTATATCAGTGTTGATAGAACCATTCTATACCTGGCCTGCTTTATAACTCTCAGATATCAAATCTGAAATATCCCATATGTACCAAATAGTATCCCCTTCTATACCAGAAGGTAACTCACGCATATCAGACAGTACCCCGCCCCTATACCAGACAGTACCCAACTTATATAAGACAGTACCCTACCTGTACCAGACAGTACCCCGCCTATACCAGACAGTACCCAATTTATATCAGACAGTACCCCACATATATCAGATAGTATTCCGCCCATACCAGACAGTACCCAACTTATATCATACAGTACCCAACCTATAGCAGACAGTACCCCTCCTATACCAGACAGTACCCTACCTATATCAGACAGTATTCCGCCTTTACCAGACAGTGCCCAACTTTTATCAGACAGTACCCAACTTATATCGGACAGTACCCACATTTTATCAGACAGTACCCCGTCTATTCCAGACAGTACCCCGCATTTACCAGACAGTACCCAACTTTTATCAGACAGTACCCCACCTATACCAGACACTACCCAACCAAAATCAGGCAGAGCCAGACTGTACCAGATAATATCCCCCCTCCTGTACCAGGCAATAAACTACAATATGAGACCGTACCCAACCAATACCAGACATTACTCAACCAATACCAGACAGTACCCAACCAATTCCAGACAGTATTCAACCAATATCATACAGTACCCAACCAATACCAGACAGTACCCAACCAATATCATACAGTACCCAACCAATACCAGACAGTACCCAACCAATACCAGACAGTACCCAACCAATATCATACAGTACCAAACCAATACCAGACAGTACCCAACCAATATCATACAGTACCCAACCAATACCAGACAGTACACAACAAATACCAGACAGTACCAAACCAATATCATACAGTACCCAACCAATGCCAGACAGCACCCAACCAATATCAGACAGTACCGAACCAATACCAGACAGTACCCAACCAATACCAGACATTACTCAACCAATACCAGACAGTACCCAACCAATTCCAGACAGTACCCAACCAATATCATACAGTACCCAACCAATACCAGACAGTACCCAACCAATATCATACAGTACCCAACCAATACCAGACAGTACCCAACCAATACCAGACAGTACCTTAAATATGACAGGCAGCACCTCGCCCGTATCAGACAGTACCCAACCAATACCAGACAGTACCCAACCAATACCAACTATACCAGACCTACACATGCGACTTTAAGGGGACGAGCCACCAGGAGACCGAGACCACGGTATGCAGGTACATCACCTATTGCGGTCTGCCCTCGATGATTCAGCAGCTGAAGCCTGGGGGCCAGCATTTGTCATCCTCCCTCGCGTCATCCCGGAGCCGACCTTGTCCATGTAGAAATAGTCGTATCTATCTGGTTTACTGATACTAACAGGCAGACACTCACCACAGCCTTAATATGACACATTGTACAACATTAGAGATAGATATCGAGTCACACTAAAAGGCTGGAGGACCTAAAGTGATATGTGCTCGAAATACGTTCCAGTGGAATTTGCTGTCAATTTTTGTCAACTGTTCAACATTTTAATCGAAAATCAAGCAATAGCTCTGTTTTGGTTACACAAACCCTACCTCTAGCTGCCCTTCAGAATAATCGAGACGTTCGAGTAGCCTAGTGGTTAAAGCGTTCGCTCGTGACGCCGATAACCTGGGTTCTATTCCCCACATGGTTACAATGTGTGAAGCCCATTTCTGGTGCCCCCCGCCGTGATATTGCTGGAATATTGCTAAAATCGGCGTGAAAACATACTCACACACTTCGAAATAATAATGCATTGTCATATAAATTCTTCAACGCGGTGTTTCACAAAGGACATTTGTTAAGTTACTGTTTAACTGTTGTGATATAACATCAGTTTATATTGCAGTTTGCTGATCCTTTGACCGGAACTGACGTCACGGCGCGTGACGTACACCACGACATGTCGTCCCCAGTCACCTCAAGACCCTCATCCGTCACAACCCCCAATGGCCACTTTAACAAGATTTCCGGTGTTCCCTGCCCAGCGACCCCTACAAGATATACAGCCCCGGTCCATATTGACGTGGGCGGTGTCATATACACGTCATCTCTTGAAACTCTCACGAGGTGAGTACAACTAGCAGAGAGATGGGAGAAAGTGAGTGAAGATGATTTTACGCCGCTGTTAACAATATTCCAGCAATATCACGGCGAGGGACACCAGAAGTCCGCTCCTCGCACTGCACCCCTGTGGGGAATAGAACCCGGGTTTTTAAGTCGAGCGAACGCGTAACCACGGTGCTACCGTACCGCCCCGAATGGGAGTGAGTTTGGTTGAACCGCCTTGAACAGTATTTAGTAACAGGTGTCAGTTTGATGTCTGAAGAAAGACGAAGTTATTCAGATCATAGTTACACGTTCACAGCTTCTGTGATCTCATGAGCTTGGGTAGGGTCCTGAGGAATCTAGGATTCGAACCCTTAGGTTTCTGGCTCACCCAACGGACTCATCTCTGGGAAGCAAATTGGACGACGGGGCCAACAATCCCGTTTATTCAAAAAATATTTCCACATCACTGATTCTTGGCTATGACAAACAATAGTACTGTTGGAATCATTTACAATAAGAACACGTCCTACATGCTGAGTGGGTTCGTAGTAGCGTGTGCAAACAGTCTCCTACCCAGAGTTCCATGCGCCAGCATAGAACCTTTGCCACAGCCGAGCGCCATGTGACGATTCGATACATCTTACTCAGCCCACTGAAGATACCGCATACCAAATTTTGACGAGTTTACATCCAGATTTTCATAGTGAAGTGTTGATTTCCATCCAGAAAATATCTTTAAAGCTGAAAACTTTCCAGTCCACGTTCCACGTGCTGTCATGGAAACCCCACGGAGAGCTGGGTAGACGGTCAGTTTGATGGTATGCACGTCACTGCCGCGGTTTTAGTAACATATTTATATAACCATGCAAGATGATATGTAAAGCGACTAGAAAGGCTTGCATTTGGACAGTTTGTTCTGATTTCAGAATAAGCTCTTTGTATTTTGAGAAAGTCCGTTCACGTTCGTGTTGGATAGGATGGTCAAGCTTTGTACAGTATATCATCGCCCTTTAAAGGTGGTCATGATCTCAACCACTCGTTTGGCTGGTCCTATCTAGATTATTTACAATACATTGTAATAACACTTGCTGACTGAACCGTAAAACAATATTCACCTACTCAACTAACCGCCTCCGTGGTGTAGTGGTTAGAGCGTCCGCCCGGAGAGCGGAAGGTCGCGGGTTCGATCCCCGACCGCGTCATACCAAAAGACGTTAAAATATGGTACTTGTTGGTCCCTGCCTGGCGCTCGGCATTAATGGGTACAACAAGGACTGGTCGGCTCGGAGTCAGTATAATGTGTCTGAGTGGGGTATTCATGCTTCACTGCGGCATGGTATCTCAGTGGGCTAGCACTATAAAACCAGCTTCAGTCTGGGTTAGTACAAGTAGCCGCACATACACATACACACGCATGCACGTCGTCATATGAGCGAAATATTCTCAAGCACGACGATAAACCCAATTTCACCTCACCTCACCTCACCTCACCTCACCTACTCAACTCGTGAACATACGAATCTAAGCATCCGGACTACAATAGCTATATCAACGGTCATGCCATACTTAAAAGCCATCCAACTGGGGTTCTTTTTCAACTTAATGAGTGAGTGAGTGTTACGCCCATTTTTGCAATAATCCAGCAATATCACGGCGGGAGATACCAGAAATGTGCATCACACATTGTACCCATGTGGGGAATCGAACCCGGGTCTTCGGCACTTTAACCAATAGGCTATCCCACCGCCCCTTCCGCTTAACGACCATGTACTGGACGCTTCCAAAGGTCTCAATCAAGTGTTTATTTTTGGATGGCCCGTGCTTTAGGCTGGGTATCGCCAGGGGCTGGACAGGAACTTCACCACAATCAGCCTGGGTATTTTAACCGCGTGGGCAATCTTTGTCCTGGTTGATATTTTGAAGCATCATATATGGCTGACCGGAACAAAGGACGTCTAAAGACACAGCCCCAATATATACACCGATCAGGACATAAATAACGGATAATTGTACCTATGGTGTCCTTTCAGTCAGTCAAAGGGAAGCTGTATCGGATGGTGTACAATGATCAGAGGTGGTTTGGTCCATGAAGGTGGCAGTGCGCATGTGCGTGGTAATATTAAGTCTGGGATCGTGCCATCCCAGTCTATTCCCAGACCGCCAGATTCGGCAAGTCCTGGTGCTTCTGTTCTTATAGAATGTGGGTCATCTGAAATAGGACATGAAACCTGTGTCTGGAAATAGGTCTTCGTTAGGATTATATGAGACCAATATAGAAACCTGTCTCGGTCCTTTCTGGGAGAGCGTCGTTTATCGCGTGCAACGGTAACTGGTGGTCGTATATTGTTACTCGGAGACGGGACTCTTTCATTGCCCTTTTTGAGAAATCAGAGTGGTAGCCATTATGAAACAGGCGTATGCGTGTGTGGGAATGATAGGATGGTGCGTGGTGACAGAATAGTAAGCCTGTGGTTGTTGGGAGAATGGTAAGATTGTGTTTTTTGGGAGAATGGTAAGCTTGGGTTTGTTGGGAGAATGGTAGGGTAGTGTGAAGGTCGGAGAATGGTAAGCTTGTGTTTGGTCGGAGAATGGTAGGGTAGTGTGAAGGTCGGAGAATGGTAAGCTTGTGTTTGGTCGGAGAATGGTAGGGTAGTTTGAAGGTCGGAGAATGGTAAGCTTGTGTTTGTTGGGAGAATGGTAGGGTAGTGTTTGTTGGGAGAATGGTAGGGTAGTGTTTGTTGGGAGAATGGTAGGGTAGTGTGAAGGTCGGAGAATGGTAGGGTAGTGTGAAGGTCGGAGAGTGGTAGGGTAGTGTGAAGGTCGGAGAATGGTGAGCTGGTGTGTGGGTAGAAGTATGATAAACTGGTGTGTGGTGTGAAAATGGTTAACTGGTGTGGAGTTTGTAGAATGGTGAGCTGGTGTGTAGGTCGGAGAATGGTGAACTGGTGTGTAGGTCGGAGAATGGTGAGCTGGTGTGAAGGTCGGAGAATGGTAAGCTTGTGTTTGTTGGGAGAATGGTAGGGTAGTGTGAAGGTCGGAGAATGGTGAGCTGGTGTGTGTGTCGGAGAATGGTGAGCTGGTGTGTGTGTCGGAGAATGGTGAGCTGGTGTGTGTGTCGGAGAATGGTGAGCTGGTGTGTAGGTCGGAGAATGGTGAGCTGGTGTGTAGGTAGAATGGTGAGCTGGTGTGTAGGTAGAATGGTGAGCTGGTGTGTAGGTCGGAGAATGGTGAGCTGGTGTGTGGTGAGCAAAATGATGAACTGGTGTGTGGGTAGAAGAATTGTGAGCTGGTGTGTGAGTAGAAGATTGGTGAGCTGGTGTGTGGTGGGAGACTTTTAAATTGATGTGTCGGGGGAGAAGATGGTAAGCTGGTAGGTGTGGGAAAATGTTGAGCTGGTATGTGAGTGGGAAATGGTAAGCGGGTGTGTGGGTGAAACACTAGTATGCTGGTATGTCCGTGAAATCCTGGCATGCTGAACATGAATGGTAAACACGTAATTCAACACCACGTGGGCGAATAAACGCCTATTGCGTACTTTCGAGAACTAATTGAGGCTGCCGAAAGTTATGAACAAGCAACACCAAAGAATATGACCATTGAACCGATATGACGACAAAGCTAGGTGCTAACGAGTTAAACCAGAAACAGGCTGCACACAATTTCATGTACCCATTGCAGGCGCGTCTAGTAGCCCCAGGGACATTAAATTCTGTTGTCCCCCACCTGCCTCCTCCCCTCTCCCCTTCCCGACCCCAGGGTGTGCCCTCGAAGGTCTTTGTCAGCTAAGTGACTCTCTTGCCCTAAGTAGAAGCAATTGTCATTTGTTGCCGTCGTCCGACCATCTGAGTCCGCGGCGGGCAGACGATCAATACTGAGTTTTTGCCGCCACTTGCTTTCTGTGGTGGCCACTTTCTCACACTGTTTTTAGACAGAGGGCAAACTAAAAACTGAAGTCATTGATCGCTGTTGATTTGGAGAGGGTCTGACGGAAGATCGTGCCTGCTCAGGGTCGCCTCCGGGCCCTGTGTCCGACTCTGGTCAAGTCGTCTGCTGAAGTGGTTGATTCTCCGAGAGACAAATGTTAGCGCTTCATAATTGTCTGAACTACCTGGTCTTGGCGTATCTGAATGTATGCGACAGAAATATGTTGAAAAACTTGTGAATTCAATCGCGGTACTCTGCACGTTTCATCAGTGAAGCCCCCAAAGATCAAACGATGTCGTTTTCTGGCGATTACTGATTGGAGAGGTTTTCATTTGGATTGATTAAAAGAGTTAAAATGTAAATCCTGCAAACAGCAGTTGAAACGCGGCCAACGACTGATCTGAGCGGTATATTGTAGTTGTTGCACTTGCGTTGATTTGAGAGCGCAATTTCATCCCTGCCATTCGACAGGGCCGAGGAAGTAGCCGTGGGCTATCCTCGACAAATAATTACAGCCTTCTTTGCCGCTACCCCTATCCTTTTACTTCATGCCTCGCAGAAAGTTGCGCTCGCCATAGAGGGGAAGTCGCCCAAATATTAACCCTCAGGGTGTTTTGGCACGGCATTGAGGGTCAACAAGGGGTACCGTCTACTCCCCTTCTTCTCAATTGCAAACAGAACTGGAAGAGAAGCTGGAAATCATCGGCAAGTGTGCTCCTCTGGTTGTGACATGTTGTATTTTAAGCAGGACGATATTGAATTCTATTGACTCCCTCTCGTTGTCCCTGGATAAGGGGATGTGGGGGCGCCTGAGGCTGATACGTTTTTTTCAAATCCAGGATAGTGAATGTTGTCGATAGAGGCAAGGCTGTCAAACCTAAAGAGTGATTTCTGTCTATAAGATAATGCAACATGTTTAATGTTGTTTGTGTACGAGAAGCAAAAGAAGTCGTTGCTATGGTTGCTCGCGCTGAACACGGAAAAGCCCGAGGGATGGGCCGCGGACACGTCAATTCGCACAAATCTGCAAGGCGTTCTGGAGGCAGGCAATTTGCGAAGGCTTTGCGTGTTATTTTACTAAAAGCAGTCATAACCGATGTAATATACAGCATAAGCTAGAAAATACCCGTTGCCGAAGCGGTGGAGTTTCGCACATTGTTCTGTTGTCATGGCGAGATCGCTTCAGCCTTTGATCCAAGCCCTCCGGACATGGCCCGGGAACGTGGATAATTAAATAAGAATGGTTTTGCACAAAGATGATTTCATGCACAAAAAAACAGACAGAATTGTAATGAAGTCTGGATATGCCCGAGGGCAAATATACCTCTTGCTAGACGGTCCCCCACCGAACCGTATTCTTCGGGCCCTCGCTTTTTCAAGACGAAGTAAAGGAACAATTATAATGAGCCCAGTCCGGATGAAATACAAGCTTCAAGCCGGTATTTACTATGGCCTCCGGGCGAATTCACAAATGGAGGTATAAATGCCTCGAGGTTGTTAATCCGCTTTCAGTATACACATTATAAGCTGGTGGGGCCAGCCAAGTTGGTCTAGTGCTATGGCGGCCCTATATATGTGCCAAATATATTCAGTCAGTCTTCACGGTTTGGTTGCGATGATAATAGCTGTACAAACAGTAACTGACGCTGACGTGGTGTAGATCCTATTACGTCTCCTGTAAATTTCTATGGTAGCCTTGTCACTCGTCGAGTTTTCTTCATTGGCTGTGTGTCAGAGAGACGATATCAGTTTAGTGGGTGTTGTATTTAATCTTTACCATTTATCGAAGGTGAAGGTGTGAATTTGCAAGGAGAGGCGTTATTAGGTGATGTGTTCTATCATGACGGAGTCCGCTTGCTGCTTGAGGGAAGCCTATCGGACGCTTATCGTAGGCGTTTATTTTGATGAAATTCACCCACGCGTCTGTGATACTCTTTGACTCTTCATACTCGCAGAGTATCTAGGATTGAATCCTTAAGGCCCACCCCGTGGTCAAGTCGATAGAGCGTCTGCCCGGAGGACAGAAGGTCGGTGGTTCAGTCCCTGGGTCGTATTGCACCAGAAGACGTAGTTTTGTTACCCTGCCTGTGACTCTGCAGAAGGGGAGGGGTGGGATGGTTACTTGTCTCAGACTCCGTTTTCTGTGCATATCTTGAACGTGACGTAAAAGCCCATTTCACTTGGATTCTAAACTGAATCATTGATTACCTAAGGGACGTAACTCCCGAGCTCCCTTAATGTCGCGCTCTTGTATGATCCCCGGGGAGCTGAGAATGAAAGTTGAATGTATTCCGATCCACTGACGGGTGATAGTAATGCAGTGCAATGATTATTCACATAATTCGTAAATTGAATATGGTAATATTTTCTATATAAAACACATAACATTACGTGCGTCTTGACTGAAAGGTTCATTGCAAGCAGGGGCTGTTGGGTAGGCACGTGGTTAAGGCGATCGCTCGTCAAGCCGAAGACTCGGGTTCGATTCCCCACATGACCACAACGTGTGAAGGCGATTTCTGGTGTCCATCGCTGTGATATTACTGGAATATTGCTCAAAGGGGCGTAAAACTTAACTCACTCACTCACTCATTGCAAGCAGATTTGGTCGAGCTTCTAGAATCACTTGAACTTAAACTACTACGCGCAATAGCATGATTAACCCTACCATGCATAAAGAAAACGACCCGTGAAGAACTGGATTAGAATTGGTCTTAGGCATCCCGTGCTTGTAACAGGCGACTAATGGGATCGGGTGGTCAGGCTCGCTGACTTGGCTGACACATGTCATTGTATCCAAACTGCGTAGATCGATGCTCATGATCTCAATCACTGCATCCAGTCTCCAGACTATTAACAGACCACCGTTTAACAAATCGCTACCCGCGGCGTCAAACAACAAACATACAAAAAAAATAAACGAGCAAATCAAACATTCAGAAAACATGTCCATGAGTGAACTGTTTACACACGTAAATTCCTTTCAGAGAGACAACAGCTGGCGGGAACACATGTTGAAATTGTATTTCGTGTATTTACCTATATTTGTATAGATTGTGCCTGGGGCGATGTGTTGTGTTTGAAAGGTGTTGATGTTAATTAGTTCACTCAAGGGGCATGTACCCCCAGGCAACTGGACCCAGGCTGCCGAGATCAGCTGGACCGTACCACACAGTCTACCTATTGTGTCATGGCCCCTCGGGCGCTGACATCCTAATGGACACATATAATAGGAGAAAAAAGTCCGTCAACTGTACTTGATTTAATTTGCGGTTTGATGATGGCTTCTTTTGCCCACGAAAATAGAAGAGTGTCTGGCTCCAAAAATCTTGTATAAATTCACTTATTTTTCTTCTGTTCTCTATGGTTTCTCTTGAAGAGACTTGGTGCTGATTCTGAATGCAATTACTGAACCGACGGGAAAAAAGGTTTATGCCTGAAAAGTAAATTTCACTTAAATTATGTTCCTATTTTGAAAACAATCGAAACAGAGCAAGCATTAAGTCCATATCACTGTATGTTACCCGTACCAAAAGATCAGTATTGAAAAATCTTTGAGGTTTAGCCACCATGAATCATTGGTGTATACTTTCTTTTGCCTGTTAGTATATATACAGTACTGGTTTCTATCAACTTATGATCTGGGCGTGTCCTGTGTGCAATAGATCAATGTCTATATGGTGTCAGGTTCGCTGACTTGGTTGACACATGTCATCGTATCCCAGTTGTGTAGATCGATGCTCATGCTGTTGATCACTGGATTGTCTGGTCCAGACTCGATTATTTACAGAGAGCCGCCATATAGCTGGAATGTTGCTGAGTGCGGCGTTAAAAAACAAACCAAACAACTGAAAGTCCTTTGAAAGTAACACTGAAACCAACTCACTCATTCACTATATCCATTAGGCTTCTCTGCAAGAGTGCGGTGGGGTAGCCTAGTGGTTAAAGCGTTCGCTCGTCTCGCTGAAGACCCGGGGTCGATTCCCTACATGGGTACAATGTGTGAAGCCCATTTCTGGTGTCCCCCGCCGTGATGTTGCTGGAATATTGCTAAAATCTGCGTAAAACCATACTCACGCACTCTCTGCAAGAATACCCGAAGAAGTAGAATCTTAGTCGTGTTATTTAAAAAGCAGGGCGAGCTTTTTAAGCATAAACCAACCCGCCTTTAACAGTCAATATTCATCATTCTGCACCAAAACTTGGATATGATCGTGGGTAAAACCTTTCGATCCTTATGAACATGATAGATTATCTGACCTCCACCCCCCGGCGTGTCCAAGTCGCCATTACCTGTGCTTTACAGAAAACACTTGTCCAGTTTCCCGACCACCTCCGTCGCCCTGGCGGGATCGATGGGGAAGAAAGAAGATATATTTTACTGCCTACATAAGGCAAGAGCATGCAAGGCTTCCGGGAGGCATTAGCGCGTCTGGGAGGGTCGATAGGCCGCGGTCAGAGACGCCCATAACTCGATACTTAAACAAGCCCGCTGGCCATCATGGATTTTTTTTATCATGAAATTATGTGAGATATATTCAAGGAGCCAGTTGTATTGGAAACTGTTGACAATGACCAATTCATCAGCTGTGTTTTAGTCTTTAACCTTTGGAATAATTGTTAAAATTGTTCCTAATAAGGCTGGATTTCCCAAAAGACAAATCCGGAAACAACTGAAAATCGACTTTGATTTTTGTTATAATCTGACAACGTCATTAAAGATGGTCAGAATTGAAGATTGAGATATGTGAGATTTTAGGTGAAACGAATAATTCCATTAATGAGTGAGAGTGATGTTTTACGCCGCTTTTAGCAATATTACAGCAATATCACGGCGGGGGATACCAGAAATGGGCTTCATACATTGTACCAATGTGGGGAATCGAATCCGGGTCTTTGGCGTGACAGGCGGACGCTTTAACCACTGAACTACCCCACCGCCCCGATTCTATCAATGAATCTATTACGGTATTTCTTTTCCAAACATCATCTGAATTGTTTTGAAATTTTGAAGATCCAAGGTCACAATTTTCATATTTCTCACAGGATGTTGTCTTTGTGGTGTTCCCAGGTTTCCCGACTCGCGACTGGCGAAGATGTTCAACGGAAGCATCCCTATCGTACTGGACAGCCTGAAGCAACACTACTTCATCGACCGTGACGGCAAGATGTTCCGCTACATCCTCAACTACATGCGCTGTCAAAGGTGTTGTCTTCCAGAAGACTTCACAGAGTGGGAGCAACTTCTTGAAGAATCGCGATTCTTCGAGCTCCAAGGAATGGTTCGGGACATTGAAGCTACGCGACGTAGCAAACAGCGTCCAGTGACACAGCCCGCACAGACGACGGACCAGACAATCATGCAAACAGTCCGTGAGATCAAGTCGGAGCCCAGTTCGTCCGAGTTCTGTGACTGTATTGCAGTAAGTATCAGCCCTGACCTAGGGGAGAGAATCTCGTTAAGTGCTGAGAGGGCGCTTTTGGAAGAAGTTTTCCCGGAACTTACGTCAGCGCTGATGGATACACGGAATTCTGGTTGGAATATGGAGAACCATTTTGTGATTCGTTTTCCTCTCAATGGATTTTGTAAGCTCAATTCTATTCAGGTTATCCAGAGGCTTTTAAACCACAATTTCCAAGTAATCGCCTCGACAGGCGGTGGCGTGGAGGGTCAGCAGTTCAGCGAGTACCTGTTCTGCCGGAACTGCAAGTCGCTACACTGAGACAGTCATGTTATGGAGAGGGACGGAACTTTAACTGACCAGTTGCTTTATGATCAGAAATTCCACATTAATCCTGTGAATGAAAGCTGCTGGCGACCCATATAACGCGATCTTATTCCGTTTCCGTGAGGGTGGATTTCGGATTAACTCATGTAACAACGAACTGTGTCGTTGTCGACGTTAGCTGTAAGCGTCATCTGATGCCTAAGAACAATTTGCATTTGATAGCAGATTTCAACTTCCGCGCCACCATGATGGAAGTCATCTACGGATTATTTCAGGGCCTTGAGACACTCGGAACAGCTCGCCGTATCCCGTTCCCATATACCTCGGCCGCACTGGAGTAGTGATAATACTTTGCAGCCTATTTACTGCCAGATCCTTCCGCGTGAAGTTCGTCTGACTGTCATGACCCTGGTTTGGAATGCGATCATTTTATCTTTGACATAGAAAAAGTATATATTTTGATTTTTGAAGACGACATTCAGTAAAACATAAGCCAAAGCCAAATTGTGGTTTGTCATGTGACCGGCTCTACTTTCAATATGGATTCCCCAGGTGTTATGGTATGTGATTCAGGCGAACTAAGTGTCTACAGCAAACTACGAAACTAAATGTACGGACCATGCGGTCAGCTTTGTGTACATGACGTGCAAGTATATAGTTCTGTGATATGAGATTTCAATGGACCTGACTTGTTGGCGTTCTCTGAGCGTTATGCTTACCTTTCAGCTGTACCTATGACAGTGCTAAATGTTTCAATCATATGTTTAGAGGTATTTATACTTTCGATTAATGGTGTTAAGTCGTACTACTAGGAGATATCTTAAACTGATTCATATGTATACACATACTGCTTGAATTAATTCACTGTGTCATGTGATCACGTTAGTTAGGGGCAGCTACAGACTGGACCCATGCCCTTGTTGCGCACGCTCGATATGCGCAGCAAAGGCAAGGAACTCGTTCAGGGACAGCCAGTATGAATGTCGTCCGCGCACTTTTAGTAGTATTTGTGGTTATGAGATTTGACAATTATTGCATCTATTTCACACCTAAAATGTAAAGTCATTATCAACTGCTGTTTGTTGAACTGTTCTTGGTAGAAAGCATATGTACATATATTTATGCTTTTTGTATTATCATGTCTATTTATTCGGTGCCTGTTATTGAAATCTTGTAAGTGCCGGGGGATTTGAACCTTGTAATTATGCATGTTTTACATTCTGTGAAAAACAGGACGAATCCGTTACAAACTAACGGGAGTAAGTATTCAGTATGATTCAGTTGGCTCAATAACGTCTGTATTTGTATCAGGCTACTGTATCAGGCTACTATATCAGGCTACTATATCAGGCTATTTCTGAAATCATTATCGTGAATGAACATGGAAGAAGTTCAATAATACTGTTTTAAGCCAATCAAACACGTCGATTTAGATATACTGTATGTCAGACCAAGCCAATCAAAAGCAAGAATATCAATGATATATTAGTTGGTCTGGTAAAATAGGTTTGGAAATTCCATCTTTCTTCAGAGTGAGTGAGGTAGGTTTCACTCCACTGCGAACAGCATTCTGGTCATATCACGGCTTCCCGCTTGGCCTGTGTGCGAAGAGCTCTGTAGATTGTAAGACGTTACCGCTTTGGTAAGAACCACGAGCGTGGGTATAGTGCAGACAAATCAAGAACCCACGCCACGCCTTTGCCATCCGTGCTCCTTTTCAGACTATATCTTTAGGTTTCATTGCTATAAGGGACGGCTGGCTGGCTAGGTGGTTGAGGGGTTCTCGCTCATGGCTCAGTTTTAAACGTACGTTGGTGACGCTCATTGCAATCTAGGATAGTGGTGGGAGGTGACTTAATATATCTGGCTTCTAACTTGGCTGATTGCATTTCATCAGTCAATCAATGTTCATAATGTCAAACGCGAGTTTGTCAAGTCCATTAACTTGTCGCCTTCATTAAAATTAATATTACTGCACTGATAATGAAACAAAACCGTTATCATGACCAGTTAATGTTTCTGGAATATTGCCAACAGCGGCGGTAAAATCTCATCACTCACTCACGAAGAATATATTGGTAAATATCACGAGCTTATTATATAAGTAAACATTTTGTAGAGGGAATATCGCTGTGACTCATCACAGAATACATTTTGTATGTAAATCTATATATTTTCGGTGTTTAGCACAGAATGGTTGAACACAGTGTGTGCACCATCTTCGATTATCAAGGGTATTTTACCTCCATCCGAGTATGAACCTTGAACGGAGGTACGATACACTAGCTACTGGAGGGTGTGCTGGTACAGGGGGGAGACATTCTCTTCCCACAGCCGAGGCCTTGCGAATGATCACTTTTGAAACAACGTCGCTGATTGCACAACTAAATCTGATTGCCTCCAATCACCAGTCTTGAACGCTCACACCATGAAAGGGCCGTATTAGAACAGAGGTTACGTAGGAAGATATGACAGGAGTAACCTCTGTGGGAAGAGAATGGGGGTGAGACGGCAGCTCCCCGGAGTAGATAATTTCGTCACAGATAGATTCATAATGTGTGGTCTGTTTTAGTCACGTGCAATGTTATGATCTTATGAAATCCATTGAATGATTAAACGTCTTTACAAATCTTCATGTTTTTCTTGTCAATTTTATACCCACGACTGCATCGATCCCACATATGATCACATCTCTCCCACTCAGTAAGTTAGACTAACACGTAGTCTCTGAATATAAAATTTTGAAAGAAACAAATACATTGTACTTCAATTGAAATTGGAATAGACTATAACGCTTAGTTTCTGAATATATATGATTTTGATGGTTGTAAATAAACCCATTTAAATCGAAAAGGAGCCCCCGTGAGATGGACCAGAACCTGAGGAAATCTAGACTTGCTTCATTTAGGGCTTTAGCATTGCAGGGAGGGTGAGGCAGTAGGGGAAATAATGTGGTTCAGGGACTGTGAGACAGACTTGGAGGGTGAGGCAGTAGGAGAAATAATGTGGTTCAGGGACTGTGAGACAGACTACATTGCAGGGAGGGTGAGGCAGTAGGGGAAATAATGTGGTTCAGGGACTGTGATACAGACTAGGAGGGCCAGGCAGTAGGGGAAATAATGTGGTTCAAGGACTGTGAGACAGACTAGGAGGGTGAGGCAGTAGGGGAAATAATGTGGTTCAGGGACTGTGAGACAGACTAGGAGGGTGAGGCAGTAGGGGAGATAATGTGGTTCAGGACTGTGAGACAGACTACATTGCAGGAGGAGGGTGAGGCAGTAGGGAAATAATGTGGTTCAGGGACTGTGAGACAGACTACATTGCAGGAGGGTGAGGCAGTAGGGGAAATAATGTGGTTCAGGGACTGTGAGACAGACTAGGAGGGTGAGGCAGTAGGGGAAATAATGTGGTTCAGGGACTGTGAGACAGACTAGGAGGGTGAGGCAGTAGGGGAGATAATGTGGTTCAGGGACTGTGAGACAGACTACATTGCAGGGAGGGTGAGGCAGTAGGGGAAATAATGTGGTTCAGGGACTGTGAGACAGACTACATTGCAGGGAGGGTGAGGCAGTAGGGGAGATAATGTGGTTCAGGGACTATGAGACAGACTACATTGCAGGGAGGGTGAGGCAGTAGGGGAAATAATGTGGTTCAGGGACTGTGATACAGACTAGGAGGGCCAGGCAGTAGGGGACATAATGTGGTTCAGGGACTGTGAGACAGACTACATTGCAGGGAGGGTGAGGCAGTAGGGGAAATAATGTGGTTCAGGGACTGTGAGACAGACTAGGAGGGTGAGGCAGTAGGGGAGATAATGTGGTTCAGGGACTGTGAGACAGACTACATTGCAGGGAGGGTGAGGCAGTAGGGGAAATAATGTGGTTCAGGGACTGTGAGACAGACTACATTGCAGGGAGGGTGAGGCAGTAGGGGAAATAATGTGGTTCAGGGACTGTGAGACAGACTAGGAGGGTGAGGCAGTAGGGGAAATAATGTGGTTCAGGGACTGTGAGACAGACTACATTGCAGGGAGGGTGAGGCAGTAGGGGAAATAATGTGGTTCAGGGACTGCAAGACAGACTACATTGCAGGGAGGGTGAGGCAGTAGGGGAAATAATGTGGTTCAGGGACTGTGAGACAGACTACATTGCAGGGAGGGTGAGGCAGTAGGGGAAATAATGTGGTTCAGGGACTGTGAGACAGACTACATTGCAGGAGGGTGAGGCAGTAGGGGAGATAATGTGGTTCAGGGACTATGAGACAGACTACATTGCAGGAGGGTGAGGCAGTAGGGGAAATAATGTGGTTCAGGGACTGTGAGACAGACTAGGAGGGTGAGGCAGTAGGGGAAATAATGTGGTTCAGGGACTATGAGACAGACTACATTGCAGGAGGGTGAGGCAGTAGGGGAGATAATGTGGTTCAGGGACTATGAGACAGACTACATTGCAGGAGGGTGGGGCAGTAGGGGAAATAATGTGGTTCAGGGACTGTGAGACAGACTAGGAGGGTGAGGCAGTAGGGGAAATAATGTGGTTCAGGGACTATGAGACAGACTAAAAATTGAAAATGAGACCCAGTGGGTCCAGAGACTGAACCTGAAGAAAGTCTAGACATGTTGCATTTAGAGAATTGCTTTGAAGAAAGGGATGTGTAGAAGAGAACACAATCAGGGAACTGCGAGACAGACTATCAATGTGTCTAAGACATGTATTACCGAAAATTCTTCTCCCATGAGGGGCGGTTGGGTAGCCTATTGGTTCAAGCGTCCGCTCGTCACGCTGAAGACCCGGGTTGGGATGAAGTCTATTTCTGGTGTCCCCCGCCGTGATATTGCTGGAATATTGCTAAAAGTGGCATTATAAACAAGTTACTCCTTCGAAGAAGCTGACATTGGACTGGAATGCAATGGTGTTAAACCAATCCGACCCACATCATTCATTATTCGTCGAGCATAAGGAAATACCCAACAAAAAAATAAACTTTGAATGATAAATGTGTCATGTTCAGATCACTTAACCTGTATCCGAAACATAATTTGACATAACCTTTTTCCAAGGATACTTCCCATTAATATCCTTTAACTACCTGCATATCAAAGAATGTTCTTGCAATCTTACTACCGGTTAGAGAGTGTGTGCAGAGACTGAGCTAAATGTCAAACAACGTTGTGGAACAAGCAGAAGAGGGGACAAAAACTATAAAGCCTCGTTTAAGTCTCAGATTCCCACTTCCGCTTCCCATTCTCTGTATGACCTCTCAAGCATGTGTGGTGATCATTGAGTTCCAATGGCGAAAAAGAAGAAGGGCGAGAAGAAGGGCTAGGTTAGGTCGTAGGATAAGGACCCTGATTGAAATGTCAAAATATTAAAGTTTATCTTTTAAATCCTTCAACGACTTGCATGGGCGGTGGGTAGCCTAATGGTTAAAGCGTTCGCTCGAAGACCCGGGTTCGATTCCCCACATGAGTACAATGTGTGAAACCAATTTCTGGTGTCCCCAGTCGTGATATTGCTGAAATATTGCTAAAGGCGGCGTAAAACTATACTCACTCACTCCAACGATTTGCAATCGAATCGCTTCAAAACGGTCTATTTTGAAGACGATATACCAGGCGGGTTTGGTCGTGTCATAAATTCGACAAATAACTGGTACCTGTGTAGTTTCTATATTTCATTTTATTGACAAAAAGTTTAAAGTGAAAAACTGAAATGTTGATATGAAAGTTATGGTGAGGCAGTAGGGGAAATAATGTGGTTCAGGGACTGCAAGACAGACTACATTGCAGGGAGGGTGAGGCAGTAGGGGAAATAATGTGGTTCAGGGACTGTGAGACAGACTACATTGCAGGGAGGGTGAGGCAGTAGGGGAAATAATGTGGTTCAGGGACTGTGAGACAGACTACATTGCAGGGAGGGTGAGGCAGTAGGGGAGATAATGTGGTTCAGGGACTATGAGACAGACTACATTGCAGGGAGGGTGAGGCAGTAGGGGAAATAATGTGGTTCAGGGACTGTGAGACAGACTAGGAGGGTGAGGCAGTAGGGGAAATAATGTGGTTCAGGGACTATGAGACAGACTACATTGCAGGGAGGGTGAGGCAGTAGGGGAGATAATGTGGTTCAGGGACTATGAGACAGACTACATTGCAGGGAGGGTGAGGCAGTAGGGGAAATAATGTGGTTCAGGGACTGTGAGACAGACTAGGAGGGTGAGGCAGTTGGGGAAATAATGTGGTTCAGGGACTATGAGACAGACTAAAATTGAAAATGAGACCCAGTGGGTCCAGAGACTGAACCTGAAGAAAGTCTAGACATGTTGCATTTAGAGAATTGCTTTGAAGAAAGGGATGTGTAGAAGAGAACACAATCGGGAACTGCGAGACAGACTATCAATGTGTCTAAGACATGTATTACCGAAAATTCTTCTCCCATGAGGGGCGGTTGGGTAGCCTATTGGTTCAAGCGTCCGCTCGTCACGCTGAAGACCCGGGTGGGATGAAGTCTATTTCTGGTGTCCCCCGCCGTGATATTGCTGGAATATTGCTAAAAGTGGCATTATAAACAAGTTACTCCTTCGAAGAAGCTGACATTGGACTGGAATGCAATGGTGTTAAACCAATCCGACCCACATCATTCATTATTCGTCGAGCATAAGGAAATACCCAACAAAAAAATAAACTTTGAATGATAAATGTGTCATGTTCAGATCACTTAACCTGTATCCGAAACATAATTTGACATAACCATTTTCCAAGGATGCTTCCCATTAATATTCTTTAACTCACTGCATATCAAAGAATGTTCTTGCAATCTTACTACCGGTTAGAGAGTGTGTGCAGAGACTGAGCTAAATGTCAAACAACGTTGTGGAACAAGCAGAAGAGGGGACAAAAACTATAAAGCCTCGTTTAAGTCTCAGATTCCCACTTCCGCTTCCCATTCTCTGTATGACCTCTCAAGCATGTGTGGTGATCATTGAGTTCCAATGGCGAAAAAGAAGAAGGGCGAGAAGAAGGGCTAGGTTAGGTCGTAGGATAAGGACCCTGATTGAAATGTCAAAATATTAAAGTTTATCTTTTAAATCCTTCAACGACTTGCATGGGCGGTGGGTAGCCTAATGGTTAAAGCGTTCGCTCGAAGACCCGGGTTCGATTCCCCACATGGGTACAATGTGTGAAACCAATTTCTGGTGTCCCCAGTCGTGATATTGCTGAAATATTGCTAAAGGCGGCGTAAAACTATACTCACTCACTCCAACGATTTGCAATCGAATCGCTTCAAAACGGTCTATTTTGAAGACGATATACCAG